AGGAACCATCTTCACTTCCCTAGAGTAGTTAAGTAACCAGCCTTCAAGACTGTGCAACATGGCAGCTTCTTCAACTGTGCTGCATTCTCAATTGAAAGAGATGATTAGCAGATGAATGGGGAAGCTCATTTCCTCTGTAGAACACTAATTCGGTGCCCACTGGTAGAGCAAGGAACCAAGTTCAGAGTAGAGCTTATTGTAAGGTCACAGCAACGCAGTGCTTGAACTTTAGCAGCTTTCTGGTTAAGAGGTGTGCTCCATGAGAGGACAGGTGAGCTCTAAAGCTGCAGGTTATAGCTGTGTTGAAGAAGCACCCACCAGAACATAGCCAGATAACTCACCCAATCCAGCTTTTCTGAAGCCTCACACAGACACTGCTTACTCCTTGCAAAACAAGATGCACAGACATTTTTAAGAAGTTTCTAAATGGCTCACAGAATGATTTAAGTTACATGGGGTTTAATAAATGCTTGTGTGCACATAGCCAGAGCCACCTTGCTTTACAGGTGGAAGGGGTATCATAAGGGTGCAGAAACAGAAGGACTGAGAGTGTCACCCAGCTCTCATCTCTGCTCACAGGTTGGTCTCTGTTGCCCTGTAGGATGTAGCAACCGCCCCTCTGAGAGCTGTCACCTTTCCCTTAGCTTACAGCCAGTGCATGGGAAAACTGTATGATCCGAGCTGCCAAGCAGCAGAGATGGGGTAAAGTGCTGGTTTGCACTGTATTCAGAGAAGATGACTAGAATAGGTTGAACTCTTATCTAGCCAGCGCTCCTGCTGGCCTCTAGGCACACTGAAAAGCTGTAGCTGGAGTTGGCAGAAAGCATGCCCTTTTTGCTGATCCTGCCCAGAAGGTCCCCCAAGCCAAATAATTGTGCTCATGTGTTGTTACAGCTCCCGCATCTCGTAGAGCAGAACTTCAGTGTGGCAGTTCTTTTCTATGGAAGGCTGGAAATTAGCCTATATAAGCTGCTGGTGTTGAGTTGGATGACCATAGCAATAAAGAGATTCTATAGGGCTGAGTTATGTGCCTCTTTTCTGGACATTCCTCAGCTTCAACACATAGTTGCTGCATCTAGGCTCTGACTTCTCTGACCACTGTGTAAATGCTCAGCTTCAGGAAAGATCTAGCTGCTGCTGTAGCCTACTACAGATTGTACTATGGGGGCTGCTTATTTTAGCAGATGTCTGCTCAAGTCTGTGCTAAGGACAGCATGTGTATAGCTGCTGCTTTACAGATATTTTGGGTGAAGGAAAAGGCTCCTAAATTGTATTGTTTTGGAAATAGTCTCCACTGTATTTCAAGTATTCAAAGAATTTCCAATAAAACTTTTATGTAAGCAATGGACAGCAACACTGCTCCATCACGTGCTTTCCTCCACATCTGCTGACAGGTTTGGGATGGTCCCAACCCCTCAGACTTTCTCTTCCAGGAAACTAGATGGGCAGAGCTGCCTGCCTCTGCCAGGGGTAGCAGGTGCAGTGCACCACTGTGTTACCATTAGAGTAGTCAGCCAGGGTGTGTATAGCATTGCTTAAAGTTAACCCCAGATAATGCGATGCCATGTAAGGTGCTGACATCTTCCCTTCAAAGGAGAAACAATAAGATGGTAAAAATGGATGCATAAATATAGGCAGTGCTGATTCAAGCTGCAGCATAAAGGATGTCTGGTTTTTATAAAGACAAAGATGCAGGAAAAAAAAGTGACAGTGTAGTGCAAGTTTCTATGAAGGAAAGTATTTCAGCTTGGAGAACAAGGATAACTCAGTAACAATCTTATCAGAAACCAGTATCCCATTGCAACCTGACAGCTACTGAGATGCATAAATTATGCATGTGCATGTATGTGTATTTATCAGCATCACTTATGCACTAAGGAAAGATGCTGGATGATGTGAGAAGCAGTAACTGCCAGCAAACTCACACAAACCATCCTGGGGGATCTGGGCCCACCAGAATCTTTGCTACCACCAAGGCTATGACCAGTCACATACTGTCCAAGAGTGAACCTACTTTACATACTAAAAAAAAATATGTATATATCTTCTGAATAGTGTCCCTAAAGCCACAGGGCAGCTACACATGAAAACACACCAAGCAGTAAACACGATTTACACTGTGCTAAACACTGTCTGTGTGGCTGCACGTAGTATATACGTCCTGCTGGCACCATCAGGGACAGACCTGCTGCTCCCAGACTCCTCCAGAGCAGCACAAAGCTTACTGCTGCACAGCCCCAGCAGTGAAGCATCACTGACCAAAGTCCAGAGATGGGCATCTGAGAACTGATTACTGACATACTGCTGTACAGTCATCATATAAACCACACTGACCCCATTACAGTGGGTCAGCGAAGTCCCAGGGGAGGAAAATCAGGCCGAAGCCTGTGAACTCACTCACAGACTATGGGCAAAAGCACCATCCACATAAAAAGGCACCACAAAAATATTTAGTAACTCCCTCAACTGTAGATCTGAAGTACTGTGCAGTAAATGACAGCAGGTAAATTACTAAATCAGACCTAAGGAGCATACACGAAGCACTATTTGTGAACTGATGCCAGGAACACCTCAGCCTGTATATGGCTGACAGCTTCTCACAAGTCATGCTGAATAGTGCCAACGTGAGGAAGAGGAACTGGCAATACTGGAAAGCTCTCTTCAACAGCATGAGCCTTAAATAATACATCATTAGTAATAACAACTGAAAAGCAGCACACTGTTGTAGAAACACAAGTGTTAACATCAGAAGCAACATACCCAGACTACAAGGCATGCAGCCAGGGCTCCTGGTGGTGTGGTTTTAGCTCCAGTGCTCTGTGTTCTCTTTTTACCCTCATATCCAGTATTTGTTTTCTCTGTTGTTATGCTGCACTAATCACTTTGTGGGTAAAAGTCCTTCTACTAGCCAAAAAGCATCCTAAGGTAACCAGGAATTACAGTTGTTTTCCAACAGGAAAAGTTGGTTTACCATATGTAGATCAAGGAGTGTAGTCCTAACCAAAGCCTACTCACATCAAGGAGTTAGTGACCCACATAACAAATTGATGTCAGCAGGCACAGGCCTGTTCTTCTCTGCACATCACTGGGCCACTGGATATGCAGAACCAGCTCATCCTAACAGGGAGCCAACAGTTAGCTCCCGCTTGGCCCATGGGGCCCATGCTGCTGTCCAGCTACTGACTCATCTGCTTATCAGGGCAGGGAGACAGTAATGTGGATGCCCAGCCCTGATCAGGCTACTACTGTCAGGAAAGACCCAAATGCAATACTTCATTCTTTTCCTAAATCTGTTTCCAGCCTGATGCTTCTGCAGAGAGTACTTTGCAGAGTTGCTCACAAAGCAGGCATCTCATATTCACATTCTTCTCTGCGTGTTGTGGTTGGCAGCATAGCAACCTTACTCTGTTTCTTGTAGTTGTGCCACAGCTGCTGCCGCTGGACAGACACACCTGGATCTGGGATTACATTTCCATTTTTATTGAAATACAAAAAGTGCAAACTGTGAAATACAAGATTGGTGCCGATTAGAAGGAAATAAACAATGTGAACGAATACCACTGTGAAACCCCCAGCCCTGCACCTGATAAACATCAACAGAAAAGGCAGGGAACACCAGCAACAAAAGCAATACCAAATATTTTGCACAGAGGCCCCTGTGTGTGAAACAGGAACCAAACTGGCCTTTAGATCTCTGTCAAATTAGCAGACGTTGCCACAAGGCATTTAGATAGCCCCAGCCCCCTCTGCACCGCCCACTGTACAAGTTGGGTCAGAGAGCGACACGGGGCCATGAAGACAGCTTTAGGTCTTAGCAGAGGGCAATGAGCTAGGTGCTAAAAAGCAGAGGGTTGGAGCGGAACCATTTGTCCACCTCCACAAGGAGAAATGGCTTACTAACTTGAAAGACAAACCAGGGAGGAGACTCTCGGGCAGTTGTACAGAAAGCAGGAAAATGCCAAAGATCAGAAGCCTACCCAGACCCCATCCCCCAGGATCAGTGGGGCCCACACTCTGCCAGCCTGCCTCCTTGTGCAGACGCTGCCCAGGTGCACAGGCAATGGGAGCCCCAGGCCTCAGCTCAAGTCACACAAGGGATATCTCAATAGAAGGCGTTCAGGAGAGCAAAAAGCAGAAGCAAAAGCAGCCCTGGTTACTGTGCCTGCTCCAGGGCCCCCAGCAGCTCCAGCACAAGGAGCAGCAAACAAAAGGGGATATTTACACTGGGTCCCTTCCAGGATTTGCAAGCACTTTCCCACCATGAGCAGCAGCAGCTTCCAGAACACCCTCCAGATTTGCTCCCTGCAGGCACTGAACTGGAGCAGGCTGTTATCCCTGCCTGCAGGAGATGCACCAGGCTCCATTTGGCTAAAAAAGGAAACGTTAGAGAATTCACTAAAAAAAGAGAGAAGAAAAAGAAACAGCACCCACTGAACAAACTCCACACGGAACTGAATCATAGAATCACTAAGGTTAAAAGACCTACATGATCATCCAGTCCAACCATCCACCTGTCAGCAACAGTTCTCAGCAAACCATGTTCCTCAACACAATGACTAAACATTCCTTGAACACCTCCAGGGAAGGTGACTCCACCTCCTCCCTGGGCAGCCCATTCCAGTGCCTGACCACTCTTTCAGAGAACTAGTATTTCCAAATGTCCAGCCTGAATTTCCCCTGACACAACTTGAGGCTGTTCCTCTAGTCCTATCACTAGTTACATGAGAGGAGAGGCCGAAAACCCAGCTCATTACAACCTCCCTTCAGGAAGTTACAGAGAGCAATGAGGTCTCCCTTGAGCTTTCTCTTCTCCAGACTGAACAATCCCAGCTCCCTCAGCCATTCCTCATAAGCCCTGTACTCCAGGGCTTTGTTGCCCTTCTCTGGACACACTCCAGTTCCTTGATGTGTCTCTTGCAGTGAAGGCCCCAAAACTGAACACAGTACTCAAGGTACAGCCTCACCAGTGCTGAATACAGAGGGACAATCACTTCCCAGCTCCTGCTGACAACACTATTTCTGATACAAGCCAGGACGCCACTGGCCTTCTTGACCAGCTGGGCACATTGCTGGCTCTTGTTCAGCCAAGATACTTGCAGCAATCTCTGCTTTCCCACTGGAGCACAGCTAAGTTCCCAGCACTGCTCCTGGCTATTGGTCTGGGAATGGCACCTGCCCCCCCAGAGCCTCCCTGCCAAGGGATCTGCAGCTGCATGCAGGGCCCAGGCCTTGTGCCCCAACACACAAGCACATCCCATCCCACGTTCTTGGTCTGGAGTTCATTTCTCCCTGGAGAATTTAGCTGGGTTTGCCTTTCCTCTAGGGAGATGCAAGCATGGCCAGAATCAGCTGCACTGGTCTCTCCACGTGCTGAAGCTGGGGAGCAGGGTGTCTGCATGGATGAAGCACTGGATGCTGAACATTGGGCTCTTTCATCCTTCCCCCTCCACACAGCATGCCCAGGAAGCCTCAGCTCCTAAAGCAAACACTGCAGCAAGTGCACCTCTTTCCCCTCTGTCCATCACAGCAGATGACTACTGCACAGCAAATTAGTCCTGCTCACTTATTCCAGCAGAGATCAAACGTGAATTAGGAGCCCAGTATCTTTACCTCGAAAACATTTACTTGGTTACTGCTGTGAATGGTTTAGGCCAAAACAGTAAGTATCTCTTGGCCAAACAGGGTAGACTCCTACTCTCAAAGGAGGGAGAATAAGCAGTCTTTTAGCCTCCACAGGATAAAGTCCCCTCATATCTAGAAATGATTGGGCCCAGCCCTGTCCTAGAACATCTCTCAATCCAACCTTAGCAATGCTCAGTTTCTTGCTCACTATTTCCACCCACAAGCTGGCGTGCCTCCTCCAAGCCAGCTGCAAGTCCTGCACTGCCTTGCCAGGCTTCCTGTGTTAACACCCATCCCTGTTAAACAGTGTAGCAGGAACGGCAACTTCTATCATCCCTGCAGCAGATGTCACTTATTTTGATTACAACTGGGGCAACAACTTTTGATCAGGCTAAAATGCTACAAAAAAGTAAATTCTATTTAGCATCCAGTAGCTTTTAATAAAATGAGTTCTGTTTGGTCCAAAACGCTTGCCCTGTCGCCAAATACAGCACAAAGCAGGACTGGCCAAGGCATGCAGGGCGCAAGAGATAAAGGTATAACACACCAGAGAAATAAGGCTAGAAGCTCCTCACGAACCCCATCAGGCCCAGGCTAAGGAGAGGGATCTCTTCTAGCTCTAAGTGACCTGCATGCTACAACCCCAAACCAACAGTGATGCACTGCTTTGGGAAGGCATCAGGCACATCCAGCCCTAAGCCTGCCTTGCAGACAATCTGATTTCTCCAGGCATGCCCAGAACATACAGAATACACCAGATGAGGCTTCCATGAAAGGATGGAAGGCAAAGGAACTGAGGAAGAGAGAAGGCGATGCCCACTGCAAGGAATAGCTGTTCCCTCACAGCTTTGGCACACGAGTGGTCAGCACCTGGGCAGAAACTTGTAAACCAGGCCTGGTACACTCCAGAGTAAGGGTTAGCCCCAGTCCCTAGACCTTCCCCTAAGGCCACACTCACTGTTACATTGTGCTAGAGAAAGTTCTGCTCAAACTGAAGAGGAGAAACAACCAAGGCAGTCTGTGTCTGTCAGCACAGATGCACGTGCCTGAAGGAGTAGAAGAGGCCTCGTGTTGCTGCCAGAGGGAAAGGCAGTGATCTTCATAGTTTCAGCAGTCCTGGGCCACGAGGGCGCTTTCTCCTTGCAATTCAGATTCCCATCTGTGAAAGGACCCCAGCCAGAACCCATGCACAGCCAGGTCTGACATGCGCCTTCCAAGCCAGGCTGGAAATACTGCTGGAGGGACAGAAACACCTGAGCTGGATAACTACAGGATGAACCTCACCCCAGCAAAAGCTGAAGAGTAGCTGGAGTGGCTGACCCCAGAGAGGCTTGGGCTAAATTGAGCTTCTGTGTGTTGCAGTCTGGCAGGTCTATACAGCCCATGTGCTGTGGAACCTATCCTTCGCTTGCCTGCCAAAAACTTGTGGCTAAAGTGGTGTTTGCAAGTACAGGACAAGTACCTGAAGCACAAGGGCTGCCTGCTCCATTCAGTGTTTCCGATGCCTCTGGGGAAAGGCAGAATGCATGTTTAGTGCAGAAAAATGGCACCTACAGCAAGAACATCTCTGTCACAAACCGAGCGAGTCTTGCCCGAGCCCTGATAGCCCAGTTGAAACAAGGGGAGTGAGATGGGGCTGTTGGGAGTCTAAACAAAAAAAAAAAAAAAAAAAAAAAAGATCTTTGCTGAAGAAGGGAAGGGATAGGAGGACAGAAAAACCATATGTGAGGGAAGGAGGAAAGGATGGCTGGTCATCTTATAGGGCAACAGGCTGGTGATGAGCCCTGGAGAAGCTGCACAGACTAGCAGGTGGGGCAGGACTCCACACAGTAGCTGGGAGACCAGCTCCCATCCCCATCTGGAGCAGCAGGTCTCCTGCTTACTTACACTTTCACCACCATCTCCACAGCCCTCATTCTGCTCATCACCCAGGAGATCAACAGTCCCTTTGTACTGGAGGCAGCTTGGTCACAGCCCCAAGACAAGGTGGGAAAGGTGGGAAGGTGGGCACAGTGTGCTGGTGTGGGCTGGCCGGGAATCAGGCCTCCACATCCTCAAAGAGCTCCTTCTGGTGATCCAGCAGGAACTTGGTAAAGGTATTGATTGGGTTGATGGCTTTTAGGGTGATGGCAACATCTTTGGCCCACAGCAGATTTGGGCCAAACACAACTGCCAGGTTGGTGTTTGTCATCTTGTTTCTGTCACTGTGAGCAGATACCTATGGGGGAAGGAAAGAGAACATTGTGAAATCACAGAATTACAGGGGTTGGAAGGGACCCTAAGAGATCACTGAGTCCAAGCCCCGTAAGCAGGCACTCTACAATAGGTCACACAGTTAGGCACCCAGACGGGTCTCGAATGTCTCCACAGAAGGAGAATCCACAGCCTCTCTGGGCAACCTTCCAGTACTCTCTCACCCTTGCTGAAAAGAAGTTCTTCCACATGTCAGTATAGAATTTCCTATGTTCAAGTTTTAGGCCATTACTCCTTGTCCTATTACTACACATCACTGAGAAGGCCACATCCATTTGCCCTTCACCTCCCTTTAGACATGCTGCAGAACAACACAATAGCTGCCCTCTTCCCTCCCCAAAGCCAGAGCTGACAGACTTTCCAGAGCAGATGGAAGGAGGGTGGCAGACAAGCTCAAGACTCACTGCCAGAAGATGGCTAGGGGAAGCACATACAGCTTGCAGCATTCAGGAAGCAAGAAACAACATTTTGCCACTTCTCACATCCCACCATGGCTCAGCAACCAGGCCACAATGTAATAGGACCAAGAGCACTGTCAGCCAATATCTCTACAGATCATCACTAACTAAAATGATCTTTCCTCTTGCTAGAATAACCTTGCGGCAGCTTCCCTAGCAGCAGAAAGCAGGGTGGATCTGTGACCATTCTTCTAGTCCAACCTTTTGCTCAGGTATTTTGCACCTCCACACTTTCAGCCCCCCTGATATCGCATTGGCCTAATGCCTGCCTGTGCCTCCCAGTCATGAGACTCCATATTAGAGGAACATAAGGTAAAGAGAAGCAATTTCTTAACTTAAGACTCATTTCTTCTCAAAGGAAAAGAGGGAGCAGGCAGTCGAGAAGCTGATGCAAGGCACTGGCAACTGAACTAAAAGACAAATTCCAAGCCTTGGAGCAGCTCACCTGTACCAGAAAGGCTGTCAGGAAACGGAGCACATGGTAGTTTTCTTCTGGCAGATTTTGGAGTGTTTTGCGAACGACATCCACACGATTCACTTCTTCCACACCTAAAAAGCAAGAGAGATGGGGCAAGTAAGTCAGTAAGAAATTCTCATCTCTCCATGGAAATGAAGATGAATACCTCAGCACACACCCCAACAAAAGCCCAGTTTGCAATCATAGGGTATCCCATGCAGGACTGTCCCTTCCACAGCTGAGGGTGGTGTGGAAGATATCTTTGCCCTTGGCCACTGCAACATTCTGGGAAGAGCACACTCTTGTTACAACTCACTCTGGAAGCCGACAACATGGCTGTAGAGGCCAAAAGTGAGGAGGGGCTCAGGCAGCTCTCTCAAGAAGGTCTTGAGAATCACAGCAGGGAGATGGACATCTTCATACTGCTGGAAATCTACCGGCACACCTGAGAAAGTAATGCAGAGACTCAACTCTCACTGGCCAAAGTATGATCTCCTCCAGACACAGAATGTGATGTGAAGGTTGGAGCCCAGAACCAAGGATGCCATAATTTAAAGAACATCGAGAGGGTACTGAAACACTGTGTCTTCTAACGGAGTGGAAAAATGTGTTCCAAAAGCATATGCAATGCACTGCTGAACCCAGCACTAAATCTTCAGAAAATCTGAAAGAGATGACCAGTCATCTTCAGTCCCTTCAGCATAACAAGACAAACATGGTATGCCCTATCCTGAGAAACAAGGAAATATTCCCGAGAGACAGGAAAAGGGCAGTGTGGGAAACATGAGTGTGAAGGATTATACTTTCCACAAATCAGAAGTAATGAACTTCTTTGTCAGATGCTTCTGCCTTGCAACTTGGGTCATACCCTGACAGGGCTTCACTAAGAGGCCTATCAGAGAAGTTGCTGGCCTAGCTCCAACACAGCTCTAGAAGGACAGCAGGAGTCAGAGAACAAGAGTGGCTCTGCTGAGTCAGAGCACTCACCCGTGTTGTATTTTTGCTGGACCTCCCTGACAACCTGTGTGTTTGCTGATCTCCGGAAAATCCCTTCTGTTGTGAGAGCTGTAAGGTGAGAGCAGATGGAGAAGGAAGATTGGTTATGTGGGAGTCTCTAGGAATGCTAGTATTACCAATCATAAATCCATGCTGTGGGGTGTTCAGATAGTAATCAACAAGTTCCTTTTTTTCTTCAGCAGCAGGCAAAAGAAACAAGCAGCATTTACTACTCTTATACAAGTATACAAGTGACAGGATGGACAACTGAAGAAAAATGTCTCCCAGCCATGAAACCGTATGACATCTTCAAAGCTAATCCACTTGGGTCAGGCCTTTACACCTTACCCTACATAGCTGTTCTGCTGTGTCTGAACACATGTGGATTAGAACAGGGTGGAGGAGAGGCCAACAGCATGGAATTAAGAAGGGCCCAGCCTCCCCAAGCACTTACCATGCTCCTGCAAATGAGCAATGGTCTCTCTGACCACCAGGGGAACAGGAGACTGATCAGGGCTCTTCTCCCGGAGACTGTGGGAAGAGACAAAAGGTTACAAATGACTGGTCCTCCCTGCCCTGCACACAGCCCGAGACCTGAAGTTACCTGAATGTGTACTAACTTTGACATAGTATCTTGATATCCCTGTCTCCCTGATTCACCCATTATTCCCATCATGACAAGTGATTCACTGGAGCAAGTCTGGGCTCATTACCACACCACAGGAATATTTCTTTGTCCTCCATAAAAATCACCACACATAGACACCAGGACAGTGGGGTTCCCAGAAGGTAAGGCTGCTAGTTACAAAGCAGGTGAAAAGAGTTAAACTGTCTCGGTCTTTTCCCTTGTGGACAAGAGCAGAGAGAAGCTGACACATGACAGAGTGATACATAGGATAATTTTATCTACGCCATTTCTGTAAGGGAAAAAAAAGCCAACACAGTAGTTGTCAGGGAATGCCTAGTGATGCTGAGGCATTCACTGCCACTCTCACATTAGACAGTCCATGTACAACTTTGTGGTATGCAGCTGTTCACCCCTCAGCCCGCTAACAGGCTCAGGCACACAACACCACAGCGGTGATATTAGGAAGTGTGGTGTTGAAGCTGGGGAATGTATTCCCAGATTGCTGCAGAGGATCTGTCTGGCCACACAATCCTGGCTCCTCCTCATTTCCCTGCTGCAAAAGCACAGTCAAAGTTAAAAATACCTTCAACACTTAGGCAGATCACTATCTCCTGCCAGTGTCTGTGTTTGCCTGTGTCACTGTGCAGGAATGAGGGCTGGAAATCAGTACAAGGGTGACTACAAACGATATGGAAAAAAACTAAAAAACAGATCTGCAACACTACTCAGTAAAAATAGCACAGCCCTAAAGACACCTCAGTCAGCCTCTAACAGACTTCCTTTGTTTAGACAAAGCTTTTAATGGCATAAAGCTGTCCTCGTGGTCCTTATTTTGCTCCTCCCTTAATGAGCCCTAACTACAGAAACAATCTCATCTTAATTTAGATAGGATCTAGGTTCTAGCCATGGAATGAAAAGGGTGGAACTGAACTGAGTCGATCAGAATCTGGATGCAGATAGAGATTGTCAGAAGGATGATTACAGTTTTGTAGTAAGTCCAAACTGCAAAAAATTTTACAGCCATTTCCACAGCTGTTCAGCTATAAACACAGTGACCTCAAAACAGACCGATCAGGACAACGGCAACAAAATTCAGAGATACTCACTGTTGGAGCGAGACTCCAAACTGCTGGTTTGGCAGTGGTGGGCGTGGAGGCATTGGCTTCTGGGGCACTTGTGAAGGTTTCTGGAGGGATCTGAGATATTCATCATATCTGTGGCAAAAACACAGGCTAGTAAAAAGCCACTCTACTTCCCAGAAAGAGCAGAAACCCAGTACTGTATGTGACACATTGGTAACATCTCCAGCCTAGCACAGTTGATTTCACTTACGCAAATACAGGACAGGCAGGTCTGGAGCAACACGAACAAATATATGACTGCCAGAAAAAAAGCAGGGGGAAAGGAAGGTATATATGGAATCAAGAGTTGGAGCAGCTGAAGACCACAGCACAGGTAGAAGGCTAGGGCAGCACTGTTTGTGATGAGGTACTAAGATTGTGGTGACTTCAGAAAGTCTCAAAGAGGAGCTGAACCGTGCCAAATGAGCAGAGCAGGTGCCTGACACAACAGATACATGCCACACAGTCCAGATCAATGTTAACTTCAGTAATTTGCAGAAAGCCCCTCGGGGTTGAATGGGAGAGGCATGATGGGTGCTCCTATGGAGAAGAGTACTTTTACTTCAAGGGCAGAATTGGGCGCTGTGATCAAAGACACACAAGAAAAACAGCAGAGAGAAACAACAGTCTTTATAGCAATTTGTACTGCTCCTTCTAAAAGCACTGCCTGGGTGGAATAATCCCTTCCTCCCCTTGCTTTTTGTCCAGTAAAATCCCCTCTTAGAGCCCTAAACAAATGGAAGATAAGCAACACTCTTACTTCAGCACTTGACTTGGGATTCCCAACTGTTCCAGCTTCACATACTCCTCCAGCTCACTAAGGAAGTTCACATAAAAAATCTTTCGTCCAAACTTAAAGCTGAAAAAGAAGAGACAAGTAGGTATATGAGGAATCAAGAAATCCAGTATCTGAAAAGCAGATTTCTTACAGGCAAGGAGAGCAGGGGTCTGAAAGAAGCATTGATGAGGTAAAGAGGTGGGCATGGAGTAGCAGAGATGTTGCCCACACAGCTCTCCAACTCATGTATTTTACTTGGAGATGCGAAGACTTTCCAGGTCATGTTAGAAGCCCTAACAGAGGCAGCCTCCCTGAGCCCTGGATTTCTCCCTCCTAATCAGCAGCTGGACATAACTACTTTTCTATTATTTTATGGAGTTCAGATTTTAGCATCAATACAGTGAGTTAACAGAATTTGCACTGATGTTCTCACTTTTTTATTCTTAGCAGAATCTATAACACATTATTTCTAATTGGCTGGATAGCAAGGAGCAGCAGACTGTATTTTTTGTGTCTGAATATTTTTGAGCTCAAAAACAAGAGGGGACAGCACAGGGTGTGAGGCTGCAGAGCAGGCTTGGTAGCCTGTGCATACCTTGTGCTTCCCCAGGAATGCTCCATTATTCCCCAGCACTGGGAGGATAGGGTGAGCCTCCTGTAGTGCTTCCTACCTGATCAGAGGCTTGAAGAGAATCAGAAGGGTCTTGATGAACATGGTTGGATGCACAATATACAAGGCTTTGATGTTCTTCTTGTACCTGCCAAGAGAAGCTAAGTGAGGATGAAGTGTGCTTTAAGAAGGGGGACCAACCTTTTCACAACATTAAGACATTCTAGATGTTCTGTTCCTTTTCCATTCTGCCTCACCACTACCCAGTCACCTGTGGCCTCTGCTTTTCCATGCTTCATTCTCATGTCAGGATGCCCAGCAGTCTAAGGGCACATACTACATTATTCTAAGATTTGCCCAGGAGTAGTGACAAGCTTCACCAGGAAATAACAATTATACCACAGAGCTGACACACTTGCACTGGTTCCTGGTTCTGCTCCTTGCCTGTTGTCCTAAAAAATGCAATTTCAGAAGGAGCTGTGCATTCCACAATTCAGCCTGCAGCAGACAAAAACCCACCTCCACAAGCAGTAGAAACAGGCAATAGTAAGATATGATCACCAAGCTACCAGGGAAAAAGGGGAAAGACCTTCTGTATGAGACTACAGAGCAGCATGCTGCACCTTGCCTGCTGTCCCCTACTCACTTGCGATCAAATTCCCTGTAGGCATCCCGCAGCCAGCTCAGGGATGGCTTGTTCTCACTAGTCAGGCCATGGTGTAGATACACCAGTGTGTAATCACTTTCCACATACTGGTCCAGTGTGAATTTCAGGTACCTGAAAACAGACAGCTCATGAACACACTTCATACTCTGCCACAAAGAGGCTCTTCCTCCTTTTAGTGTGCCGTAACAGAGGACTGTATCCTCAGCAACAGAGGTAAGCTCTTTGCAAGGACATGTTCAGATGAAGATGATACTCCACATGGACCTGGCCTCAGGAATCCGGTACCTGGAAATTACATTAACAGCAGCCTCTGAAGACACTACTTACCCCAGCAGTTTCACATGGTCGAGCTGATGACTTGGGGGCATCCGACAGGCACTGAACAAAATGACTTTCCTCCCATACTTGTCATCACCTGCAAATTAAATGTCAGAGATTACAAGAGTTTCAGAACTATGTTGTGGGCTTGACAGCAAAGGGGAAATGGAACACAGAAAACCATCATAACAAGGCAGACATCCAAAATGCCAAAGCTGACAGCAAAGATGAACCCAATTTTCAGTGGAGTTGTCGTGGGCCTAGGATGAAAGCAGAAACCTGAGCACCAAGGGCCTTGCAAACTTGCAACATGAATAAAGAACAGAGTCCATGCTTTAGCCCTGAAGGAAGAGCAAGGACTAGAAGCCAGGAAGCTTCATGACATATACAAATGAGGCCTGCGGTACTCAAAGCATTCATGCTGCAACACTGCTCCTGGGGCCACTGCTCCTGTCACATGCATGCACAGGGAGGCACAGGAAAACTGCCCCTCACAGAGGCAATAACCACTACAGCTCGTCTGCATGCAGTCCCGGACCAACTGTTCACGGTCTGGTGTGTGTATTTCTTGTTTCACCTAAAGCTTCATTCTGCACACAGAACAAAGCCACTCCATACCCTGGAAGCCAAGAAATTCCCAGAAACAGGCAGCCCCAGCCACATCCCAGAGAAAAGTAAGCATCTTCACAAGCCTCTTCTACAGATGGATCAGGTTAGGGCTGCTGGATTCTCCAGGGGAGGCTCAGGGAGAGCTGTGTGCTGCAGAATAAGCTGTTGTTTACTGCTTCCTAGATTTTTCCATCCACAATGGCATTTTCCCAGAGAGCTGCAAAGTGTGGTATAACTGAGTGTTCTATGTCAAAAATCTATCAGAAAACAATCCCTATCACATTTAGAGCCAAATAACCCACATAGCAACCTTATCTTAGGGACATTCCCAGCCACCTCTTAAGGCTTCAAAGGCAATGAGCTGAGTTTTTCTCCCAATATGTCTTCATACATCTGCATACTTCTACCAGCAGAGCTCTCCATCTCCATGAACAAAATCCAAGCAGGTGGGCATGGACAAGCTTAGCAGACATGCTGGGGGAACTGAGAGGTTTAGATAAATAAGAGCTAGGTCTGGATATACAGTCTGATTCTCTCCTAAACAGGCACACCATCCAATTCACTTCCATAGAGATGACCTGCTTTTTTAGCAGCAGTGGAGGCGATATTGTTCCTTTAGTGTGAAGAGTTCAAGTATTCCCATCTTTCTAGCTACTCACTCGGCTATGTTTTATTGTCAGTAGAGAGAAGAGAGTAGTGAAAAAAGTTACTGAGGTTATGTTCAAGAATACCCACCTCCCTTTCCATGGCAGAACCATCCCATTCAAACCAAAACACAGAAAAGCAGCAAGGATCTCCACTTATGCAGGACAACCCTGCAGTACATCATTCCTCTTGAAAGATATCCTTTTCCCCCTGCTGGCTTTATGGCATTCAGAGCATGCAGCTGTTTTTTTACCCTTGCATGGGCTCCAGCAGCCAACTATTGTCTGGCTAGACTTGCCATGCAACAACTGAGATCTCACGTTAACAGCAGAACAAACCTGAGGCTTCCAGGAATACTGCCTGTTAGTAAGAGATGACCACTTGCTGCTTCAGATAGCAGCCAAAGAATTCACATCCAAAGGCCGTGACGCTAAGAAGCTATTAACCCTGTCTTTTACCTCCATCCTGGCCAGAAGTACAGATTCTCTCTCTTCTTGTTCACCTCCATTTTTCAAATTTCATTTTCAAGTCACTCACCAGACAACACAAGACAATTCATTGATGCACACAAGCCAGAGCCTCTACAAAGGTTAGGGACACCTGAGGCAGCACCAGGTACAGACCAGGAAAGGGCTGGTGTAGGCCATCACACCAACATACACATGCGCAGGTAAGGGGCAGTTAGGGAGGACACATGACTCAGAAAGCAGGACTAGGAGAGATTGATGCAAGGATCATCTGGAACAACCAGATACAGCCACAGCCAGGCCACAAGACCAACATCACATTGCATATCCCACGGTAGCCCACTCTCTGCCTAGCCCAAAGTTTACTGGTAGCTTGCTATGAGCTTTAGGGCTGGATTAGATGCACATAAGCTCTCTAAAACACAAAGATGAGGGCTAAGAAGTGCTGGAGGGGAAGATACCGCACATTTTGACTCTTCTGCTTGTATGGCTTTGTCTAGAAGACAAAGGATCCTGCCCACAAAGAGCACCAAGAAGACAGTAGCATCTGAGAACCTGATGAGTTTTATAGCAATGAAAGAAAATGGGTGACAGATCTGTGCAGATTGTAACTCTTGTGCTGAAGTCAGAACAGGTGCTATCTTCAGTTAACTGAGGCTGTGATTCATATTGAAGGGGATGGTTTGAGGGTCTGAAAAGACTGAAGGCTTGATCAAGGAAAGCTTCAGTTGTGAGAACTACAGCACAGCACCACTTTCATGTGATGCTGCAGGAGACCACACAGTTCAGCTTCCTGGGCATTGACTCCAGCCTGGATAAATCACAAGTCAGGAAGCAAACAGCTTAAGCATCTTCCTCTAGAATGACATAACACTTATTATGGTGGGACCTATGCAAAGTCTAGAATCTCATTGTTTTAATAGCCTTGGATAAAATGTCTGGAATTGATAATAAAAGAAAAAAAAAATGACAATCTAGAGAGATGGATGTTTCTCTCGGATAATTTCCAGGGCCAAGTACACTAAGAGATTACCTACAGTCATTCAGATCACTGAAAAAGGAGTGACCCTAAATGAATGTTTGCATGAGCACTCCATACCCATCACTGAGTTCTGGGTTTCACTTCAGTTTTGTCACACTGAGCTCAGCTTGTCAACATAGAAACGCTTATAACAACTGAATGACAATTCTGTTTTCTCCTGACATAAATCCGATCAGTCAGACTTCTAGAGATATATTGAAATTCAGCTCCTGAGCATTGATAATAAACGATCAGTTGTTGCAATTTATAAATAAGAATGTAAGGCCCACTCCATGCATTCTTTATTGCCAGAAGAAACTGCCTCCAGGTGGCCTCTGCCTCAGGCCGAACAAATCCTTACTGCATCTGATCTTTCTCAGATGCTCCATCCCTTACACTATTTGCTTGCCCATTTGCAATATTAATCAATTAACTAATTATTTTTTTACCCCTTCTTTGCAATTGCAAGTAGCTAAGGTTTCCATTGTGCACAGCTGTAGACCATGAAGTAATTACTCAGCTTCTCAGGAACAGTTAACAGCTAACCAAAAAAGAAGCAGTTATATACTTTAGTACTCACAAAGCCAAACCATCAGAGCAAGACCATACTTCTAGAAGGAATGAAGACTAAATACCGAAACTAATGTTTCAGATGGCAACCTGTATCAATGCAAACATATCAGGAGAAATTCATATTAAGGTAGCAGCATTGTCCTGAGACAGAACTCTGTATTAAACATATCTGTACAGCCAAAATGGAAAATAAACACTTGACTTGCAAACCTGCTTTGTACTTTTAAGTGCTTCTCCTGAAAATTATCAGTCAGCCTTTCTGCCACGATCTGATGTTATCAGCTTAGCCAGCAATAGAACTGCAGTCTGGGGACCCAGTTCATTCACCAGGTACTCTCAGCCAAGGATCCACTTTGATGGAAGATTCAAATGAGAATAAACTGGTACTTCAATACTGAGAGAATGCAGAACAGATCAAATCTGACACCAAAGCTAAGTGTTATCAGAAAAACAACAAAGTGAGCAGTTTGGGGATGAGGTAGGGACATCACTCTGCAGAAATCTGGAACACCACTCCAAGTTTCACAAAGCTTAAGATGCTTCAGAGCCACTGTCAGTTTTAAAAAAAAACAATAAAAACACCTTCTCTAATATAATTTCAAGTCCCTGCTGAACATAGCTGAGCAGTGTTTAAGTATCATCGATAGATTTTTTACATCTGTTGAACTCCACACTGGATTCAGCCTCACAAGAAAAGAAAGAAGCCCAAAGTGGCAGTATTTTAATACATAGTATCTTCCACCTACACATTCCCAATATTTAAACATGGCCAGAATTATAAAGCCTTATCAAGTGACTTAACTGATACAAAACAAAATTTAAAAACCCTAGAGAATCAGATTAGAGAATGCAAAATGGGAGGATGTCTCCATCAGAACACAGCAAACAGGGGAGAAGCACCCATATAATGAGGTGATGAGGATCAGCATTTCCATGGACTGTACAGAGGTTCTGGACTGCTATTCAGAAACAGCAGAAAGAATTTCACACCAGAAGAGAAGTTCATCTGCACTGAGGAGTGAAAGCACTGGCAGCCAAATTTCAAAGGCTTGGGATTGAAGTCCAGAATACAAGCTCAGCAAGCACAGAGTAGTTTAGCACAGCTTCAGGCTAGAATGAGGCACAAGTTACCAAAATACAACATCTCTACAGCCAAATGCAGAAGAAATTGATAACAGTAGCTTTCATCTGGAGAATCCAATTGTAGCGCCAGCTGCATAATAGGTGAATGCAGTAGCAGGTCTAATAAAGGGAGAGGAAGCAATCCTAGGATGAACTTCCAGAGCACACATGACAAAAGGGTAAGCATTCAAGCTGAGAAGGACCAGAAGGCCACCACCAGAAGAGGAACAGAATTTACACAGAGACCGGAGAGCCCCAAAGCACCACAGGGAAAGCCCGCAGGCCAAAGTCGGCTCAGATGATTCCGCTGTGCCTGAGGCAGAGGTGCAGTCCTCAGAGAACAATTTGGTGCAGCCTTTGGACTCCTGAAAAGTTGCCAGCACGGCCCGAGGCTGAGCAAAGTTTGGGCTCCCTTGAGATAACCCAGCTACAGGCCACAGTCATGCTAAAGGAATACCATGATCTACAGTATCACAAAAAATCTACCTACCTGGTTGGGCCCCATCAAGTGCACCCTGGTCTGGAGGAACAGAAACAAAGTTATAGCAAGCCAAGTTTTGCACTCCTTCCCAGAAAGTAATCTTGAGTATGAAGTCTCAGTATCTAATGAGACTGCCACTGAGATGCATTGACTTGCTGTCTTGCAGCAGTTAAACCCTT